CACTAATGAAAATGTGAGCTGCTGTAGCCTAAATATGTCATTACTGGCAACTTTTAAGATGAGTTCAGTGGCAGTGGTTGCATCCACCACCAGCCAGGCCCTGAGTTTCTGCTTCCCAAGGGATGGAAAGGCTCCAGCTCCACTCTATGGCACAAAGGGGAAAACATCAACTCCATAAATCTGCTGACCTGGGGTCCAGTAAATCTGCCTGTTTCTCGGGGTTGAACCAGATGCATCTGCCTTCAGCAGGTGGCTGTGGCTGCACTAGGAAACCAGGAGCATTCCCAGCCCCAGAGCTTGCCCCAGTCCCAGCTGGGCACAGTTCCTTGGCAGGGCAGCCTCAGCCCGACTGAGCAGGATGATTCAGCGCCCTCTGGATGCTGCCAAAGTCTGCTCCAGTGCAGTGATGTTGAAACTGCAGAGAGATTCAGGGCTCCCAGCCAGTTCCTAGTCTACCCCCATCCATCATCCACCCTTCAGACTCATGGTTTCAGCCTGGCACTGCTTCCAAGCTCCGAACTGCTTTAGTGCCCATCTGTTTCTAGGACTGGGCTAATTGGCAGTGAGGGCAGAGACAAACCAAAGTGCTGTCAGCCCTGCATCTCTGTCCCCATCTCTGCCACCCTGCATGTGCTAGGGCCAACATGGGTGGCACAAGGATGGGTTGCAGCAAACAGAGCGCAGCCAGCTCTGTGCTCCACTGCCCAAGAGTGGTGCAGAAACAATGAGGGAATGAGAGCATCTTTCAGACCTTGACATAGAAATGTTCATGCAGTGGGCTATGTGTAAGCTAGGGCCTGCATAACTCTTGACGCAGGTCCTCAGTGAATAAATATAGCAGGCTGATAGCCTACAAGCATTGCATCTAAATATGCATGCCTTAGTCGTAAGTGAAACTTGCTGTGTGATGTGTCGAATCACGCAGAAAGAATATTTTGAAAGCACGCCACTTCTAATTAAGTAAATGCTCACTCATAGAAGTTGTTTTGAGCATTTACTACATATAAATGAGATAGGATGTGTTTTTTTTCCTGCTGATTATTTTTAATGTAATCAGTTAAATCAGCATATTCTAAATCCCCTTTCAGTTAAGACTTCACTTGCTTTTTATGAGGTTACTTTGCCACTGTACACAGGATTTTCCCAGCAAGGAACAAAAGAGTGCATTCGGTAATTCTTTTGATTTATAAGTGTATAGTCTTTCATTCTTTTATAGAGATAGCCTCACACACATAGACACATGTTTTGGGCTCATGCTGAACAGAGGTTTCTGTACCCAGGCAGGCTGTGAGGCCGAGTCAGACAGGGAAGCGGTAGTAGTATCCAGATCTCTGGACCACCTGTAGTGATACCCATTTTAACAAGTGATGACCCTGTCCCTTGCCACTAGTTAGAACAGGAACAGGAAATTCAGCTCCTGTCTAAATATTTACAGACTAAACATTCATGTTTCCATTTTTAAATCACTGTTTGTTCATTATATTGCTCATCCCATTTACGGTGATTTAATCGATGTTTTCTTCCATCTCCACTTTGGTATCACAAGCAGTTCCTTCCAGCTGCCCATGAAAATATTATCTTTCTTCTTCAATTTCTGAATGAGTTAGATATACAAGAGAGAGTGGAGCCCAACTGAATCAAACTGTTTCAGAGGAAGTTAAACAAAAAACTATTATCTGTCCGGTATGACAACTCTTAGATATGAGGCATTCTTCTGGGGAAATTCACTTGAATTTATTTCTATTTATTTTATTTTCCTCATACAGCATTTCTTAGCAAATGTTTATGACAGGCATCCATTTGACTAGCCGCCATCATCTGTCAGTCATCACCTTATCTCAGGCTGCTAGTGTGGTGCATGGAAATAAAAGGGCAATATGGGAAAAGAGTGGCCTAGCTCAGTTTCTCTGCTGAATATTTACAAAGAGAGCAGTGAGATAAATTAGGTCTCTATCTCCTCCAATAGTGTCTGCTTCTATAGCCTCTATAAGATATAATAGCAAAGGCATACTCCATATTTGGGAGAGGAAGAAATCTTCTGAAAATGCTCCTTCGCATACAGACCCAGTATCAGTAAAGCAGGCATCCATGGTGGAGAAACAACTGATCTCCAGTTTTGGATAACTATGCCACTTTTCTTGGTTTTACATTTGGATCTATTTCCTTTTTTTTAGCTACTTAGCTGTGTGATAAATTGTAATGGAATTTGTTCTGGATAATGTAAGTTAAGAGTGGGCTAAAGAAGGCAAGTTGCTATATAAATTGGGCTGTTTCTTACAGCTTTTAAGTTTGCTTAAAAAGACGTAATGATGAAATGTTGGTAACCATCTGCTACCAATGTTTGTAAATAAATATAAACTAATCTAAATATGCCCTGGTTTGCTGCTCTGTTTCAGGCCTGAATCACTTTTCTGTTTTTCCTTCTTTACTTTTTCTCATTTCCTTTCCCTCTTTTTCTTCTTTTTCTCTGTTTCTTCCTTTCCTTACCCCTTTTCTCTTTCTCCTTTTCTTGTCTAGATAGAGTTTATGAACTGGCTTTATTTCTTCCGAATCTTTGGTTGCCTGGGGGTGATTTCATTACACTGTTTTTTGGTACCACTCAATACTAATTATTCATGACTGAATAGAGAGAAAAGATGCCTAATTCTGATTATTCAGTGGCGAAGCAAGATGTTAAACTGTAATTTCTTCATGACAGTCTGGGAAGAGAGATGAATTACAAGCTTCCTTTACAGGAATTCCTTTTGCAAATCTGAGCAAGTGGGACAAATTTGTTCTACAGATAGAAGTCAGAGACTTCATAGCATTTATGAGCCTTAACTAAAGCTCAGCCATGCTTAGTGTTCTATAGAAATAAAAGCTGGGATTTTAACAGTTGACTCTTTAGCTTTGGACTTACATCAGAGTTGACTGTATTGAAGAATCACAACAGCTCTGGAATACCATTCATTTCAATGCATCCTCTCCCACACAAACTTTGTCTCTGACTTGTGATCACAGAATACCTCGTTTGTTTCTACAACAGGTGCTTACTGGGAAAAATAATATTATGAAAATTGTACTAAAAACAGCTGTTGGATACTTCTTCAAGCACTTACCACAATAAATGCTACCTGTCGACTGTTGCTGTCATTTTGTACCATAGTGCCCCAGGGAAATAAAAGCTGCTTGCTCTCAAATAGGATTTCCTTTCTGACAGTTTTGTCTCTGCAACAAACAGTGCCTCAAGGTTAAGAGCACTCAGAGGAAAAGTCACATTTTGCGGAAAGCGTTTAAAAATGATGATGAGAGAAATAAGGTCTTGATATCCAGATTATCCTGTTGGTTACTTTCTGACAACTGGTAGTTAAGTTTTACATAATTTTAAAACAACTCTAACATATTAAGGGCCTTCTCCCAAGATATCCTTTTTCCTTTTGTTGACACTCTACATTGAGTTATTATGTCTTATAGAACATGACTTCTAAATACATTTGTTAAATCTAACACAGTAGAAACCTATCTTGATTAATTTTTTTAAGAAGTTTAAGTATTCCTCTCTCACTAGAGAGCAAGATCAAATATGAGCTTAGCTGTATTATTTTGCACAAACCAATGATCTTTGTTGCTTCCAGATGACTGCAATGCTTATGAAAGCTGCCAGAATGGATTAAAATCATTCATGAATTTGTAATAAGGGTCTTAGGCTCCACACAGCAAGTATTTTGCAGTAGAAAGAATGCACTGCCAAAGGATTCATCCTTGTTGATAGCACACTCTGCAGTTTTGAAACACTGGCCTTTCAGAATTGCACAAACAATTGAATCTCCTTCTGGCTTTGTTCCACTAATGAGCCATTGGAACAGGGAATTCTAAAGTCAGAGAGTAAATAGGGTGTTTTTACTGGGACATGCTTACAACAATGTTTCATATGCTACAGCAGAGATGGAAATAAAGAGTAAGGCTTGCATTTGAGGAACAAAGTGTTCAGAGAAGGAGGAACTATTTGGTTCTCTGGCAGCGATTTCTAACTGATATTAAAAACGGTATTGACAGAGTGTGGGTGGCAGCGTGTGTACACATGTGTGAAAGCACCAGAAGCAGCAGCAGAACATGTATTAAAAAGGAACAAGATGACCTAAAGATAGAGCATCAGACAAGATGAAGAAACAGCCGAGAGACATAAAATACCCAAATAAATACAATGTATTTATACAACCAGGCACTGAATCCCAAACATCACCTCCTCCCAGAGATTAAAAAAAGGGAATCTAATGTCACTTCAAGTCGCCAGTCAAGAAGAAACTCAGAGAAACAATGAAGATGTAACAGAGAACATTCTCATCCTGTGTATGATCTTGGCCAGCCCATCTGGACAGACATATTTAGACGCTTCGGGGTATGTGGGTCTGAAAGCGTAAAGCCAACAGTACAGAAGATTTTGTTTGCAAAACTGCATTCCTTTTTCACAGCATATCACAGCGAGTTGTATTACACTCATTTCCTCTGCTCTTTGGTTCTTCCTGGAAAACCTAGAGAGCATAGGTACACGCTTGCAACTGAAGCACACATCCTCCTGGCAGAGACGTTTACTGTGATTGCTCTTCAGCAGCCTAAGGTAGGACAAGGGTGGCACCACAAAGTTAGGCTTTAATAAGCAAAGGCAACAGTGGGGGCTCTAAATAGCTTGATGAACTACAATCCACGCAGATAAAACTTTAACATGCATGGACAAAGCCAGAACAAAATCTCTGCATCATTTAAATCATTCTCAAGTTTTCAAAATAAGAAGTAAGTTACAGGCCTTTGGCTGCACTAGTTTTGTACTCTTTAAACAGTTCATCCAAAAAGATTAGGTTAAATATTAGAAGATATTAGATATTTTTCAATCAGAGGGTGGTGACGCACTGGAGGTTGTAGATGTCCCATCCCTGGAGGCATTCAAGGCCAGGCTGGATGTGGCTCTGGGCAGCCTGGTCTGGTGGTTGGCGACTGCACATAGCAGGGGGTTGAAACTAGATGATCATTGTGGTCCTTTTCAACCCAGGCCATTCTGTGATTCTATGATTCTGTGAAGATGGCAATAAATGAAGACCAGAAGCATATGCCATTCCGTTACGTTACCCTCAAGAACTAGACATGGCATGCAATATATTTTCTTTCTAGACTGTTGGAAGAAGTTGGACTGAGTTATCTAGAAGGATATGAAATGAAAGCTTAACATAATACTGCAGGATCAGCGTGGAAGCTTGGAAAACTTGGGAGCCTGATTATGACACTGAACACTTTAGTTTTAGGTTACTATTTCAGATTTAGACCAGTTTTCATGTTCCCATGAAATATTCTATCTGCTGCATAATTAGGACACATGCTGTGCAAGCCTCTATCTTCTATCCTGGTTGCACAAAGCAGCATGCCAATCTGGGAACATCAGAAGCTGGCAAATGGATTGCCTCTTTGGTGCAAAAGGCAGCATCTTTTGAGCTATCTCAAGACTAGAGCAGGATCAAGTGGTCTTGCAGGATCATCAACTGGATATGTCTAATAGTGAGAACAGGTGTACATACATGATTAAATGAGAACTTCAGTGGATTTACGATGATCAAACTACGTTCAGAAAACCAACACAGTGCATTTTTATATAGCAGAGCAATACTGGCACATACATTAAAAAAAATTCCATTCCTGTGCAAAACTGAGCAGCTTGCAGAAGCTTGCTCAAGTACATCTTTTTCTGAGGAGCAAGACCCAGTAAGTACTTCCTGCTTAACCTGCAGCATCAGCCACTCCACATACTGCAGTCACAGCTACTGCTTTGTTAGGAGTGCCAGAGGATGAACAAGATGTATGTGAGGTGCTTTATTCAATGATTCCTTCAAGTACTGATATAGTCTTACAAATCCCAGGCCCCATCTTTCCTTTTCTTCCTCTCCGTCTTTCCTTCTCTCCCAAGCAAGTAAAAGTGAAAAGCCAACTTTCCTCATGCACCTGCTTTTGAAAATATTCAATTCTTTGCTGCTCTGTGGCACAGTTTGTACCAGAGGAGCAGAGAGGGGCAGCAAGAGTCGTGACAAGTTCTTCATAAATCTCTGTGGAGCAGATCATTTCTACTTCATTTCTAGGGCCTTTGAGAACTGCTCCAATATAAACTCTGAAAAAAGATCAGAGCATCACCTAAGTAAAAGAGAGAATCCTGCTGCTGACTAGCCTAACAGACAATGCTGCCAGCTGGCTCATGCACATTGTATTCAAATGGCTGCTGTGCTTCGCACCAGGCTCAGGCTGATGAACACAGTAAACAAAGGAAAGCCCAGGCTGACTGGCAACTACCACATTTCCTCACTTCATTTCTGCACGTTCAGATATTTTCAAAAGCAGGTATTTATTTTCCAAGGAAAATCACTTGTGTAAGCCATGGTTTAGGTTCTGTAATTCACATAACCATGCTGGAAGACCGTCACCTCATCTTCAAACTACTCCTCCAGCTGTGAAATTCAACTTCAGGGATGCACAGCCCTGATGCTCATTTTGTGGCCTTGCCTATCACACATGTGGCCTGACATCCATGTCCCTAAAGGAGAAGCATACACAGCTGTTTGAAACGAATCATATTTCAGAGGATTTCAATGACCAGAAGTCTCTCTTACAAACCTGTAACACACAGAAAAACAAGCAGATAAGTGTTCCAGGCAGGATCTGATGACATAGTAGCATCCAGCAATCAGACTACTAGATGGTGCTAAATAGTATTTCATCAAGACAGAGAGCTCCATACTGGGGAAAAAAAAAAAAAAAAAAAAAAAAAAAAAGCATTGCAATAAAAACTGTCATTTATGATCTCATGTATACTTACTTTGGCTCCACTGAGATTAAGCATTCTGTATGAATCAGTGGTACATGATAGTCTGGCCAATGCTCAGACAGTACATCAGGGAAGAGAATTGCATGTAATAATGCAGCATCCTGTTTAGAGGCCTAAGAGGCAAAAATCTAGCAGTAATCACTTCCAAGGCTAGTAACTCAGTTCTTATTGCCTTTATAATGACTCCACAGTTATTCAGTCAATGAAAATGGAGTCTGATATTGTGTATCAAGAAGATAAATTAACAATAAAATGAGTCTCACTGATACATCCACTGACTACTCCAGTGGAGACCGGCGAAGATACAAAATGTGCTTTTAAAGCATGCTGTCTCCTCTTCAGGAAGATGAAGACAGTGAAAAGGGAGGCAGAAACAAAGACTTTCTTTTCTAAACGTGGGTTGGGCATGTCTGGAAAAAAAAAAAAAAAAAAAAAAAATCAGCAACCCTGCTTAAATTTAATAAACAAATACTCCATTGGAATTAATAAACAAAAAGCTACTTGGTTTAACCATCTTTTTGGCTAACACTGAAAACAAAACAAAATGCTATTAGGGACTCCAGTTTAGGCACTAAAACACTGCACAAAGTGCCAAATGCCAGGATGCTGACCTCATCCATTTTGATACAAGATCCATATTCCAGAGAAATTCACAGCATTCTAGTTAATTTATAAATAAATGAATATCAAAACTCAACAACTGACACAAAACTGTATCAGGCAAAATCAAGCAAATGTAATCTTATTTTGTGTAAGCTTCCTTCATCTCTCCTTCCCTGTCTCTCTCCCCAGCTCCAGGCAGTTCTCTTCTGTGTCTCCAGTCGTGCTGGAAATAATCTAGAGAGCAAAGTCTTGGCTGGAGATCCCAAATGTTTTATGGTCAATGGACACATCCCCTGCCTTATGTCTAAAACAGAATACAAAGGATTTTATAACTATAGCAGTTACAAAAATCCATTCCTTAATAACGCAGACTGTTATCACTCACAACTTAGAAATCAAAATTCTGAGGTCATTCTTTAAAATCCATCTTGTTAAGGCAGGCCATAAGACAATAAGCAAAGGCTAATGAAAAGAAGATGCAGTGTCTGTCTAAAATTAGAATGCATGACATTTGCATTGTCACGGGTTTGTGGAAAACGTGGGGGCTATTATATTATTGGTTTAAACATCATATGTATCTTTATCAATTTGCTAATTACAGCTGGTTCAGTATATTGCTGGTTCAATGGCTAAGTGACAGGATAATTTCTTACAGGGATGAACAATGGAGTAGGTATAAAGAGGGGTAATTAGTACAAACCACAGCACTGGAAAAAAAAAAACCAAACTGCCAGGAGCAAGTAGTCTGAAGTTCTTGAAAGGAACAGCACAAGCAGAAGGGACAGCATTACCTCTGCTTGTCACCACCCTCCTGACACAGGTGCTGGACCTTGAGACACACTCACCTGTACAGCTCAAATAAGCCTTGTTGGCAATGGCTTGCTGCTGAAGCAAGAGGCAGCATGAGCTCTTACGGCAGCGACGGAACAGAGATGGGAATATGTGGAGCTGAGAATGCAAAGAGGAGGTGGGTGGGAAACGCCGGGATTTAGACCATCTGAAAACACCACGGAATCACACCTTAAGCTGCTTAAAATAAGCCAGCTCATTTTGAGAGAAATGAGTTAAAGACTGATCACGCAAACAGCAATACCAGCAAGCCTGAGAGAATCACATCCTCCAGCTGCAATGGTGAGGAGGAGACAGGAGCAGGCCAAGATTGGCCTGACTGGACTGCTCCCACTACACCTGACATTTCTGAGCTCTCCCTGCCATAATGATGCTAATGCACTGGAAATAGATGAGATTAAGCGAAATGTGAGTAGGCTGCCGGCTTAAAATCATGATTCAGACGATCCAGAAACACTTCGACTGTGGAGAACCCATGGGATATGGGATGTTAGATTCAAGAACAGCAAAGCGACGATTAGGAACGAAGCACTCTAGTGATAAAAGGGTTCTCCAGAGCGCCAAACATCCCACACCATGCAGAGGACAGGCAGGAGCACCTACGAGAGCAGCTCTCACTTTCAACGCAACATCAGAATTGCCTCGTCCACACAATTTCATGCGTGTTTTCTTTCTCTTGCAACTATAAGACAGGAAAAGCGGTCTATCTGCAGCTTTCCTCAAATACAGAAGCTGATAGCGTTCCCCGAAATGCTAGCAAGTTGGCTCTCCTAACTACCCACATCTCCACACAAAAGCCTTTCCAGCCCCACTTTCCACTGCCACAGCTATTTCGTGGCCAGAAGAAATTTATTTCTCTTAACTGCCAATAATAAGAAGAGATAAAAGCAAAACACAGCCCAACGCGACTGCAGTGCCTCCCAGCAGAGGCGCAGAGAGGAGCGCGCTCTTCTCCTCGCTGTCAATCACGGGGTTATACCACCAGACCACCTAAAAGTCTCATCTGCGAAACTCAACCTCCCTACAGATGACCGTGGTTAATCCAACGGCTCTAATTAAGGCCCACAAAAAAGGTGACTTCGGGAAAAAGCCTTTCTAACAAAGCACAGACCCCTCCCCACCGCCAACGGACAGCCGCAGAAACAGCACTCCGCCCTCAGCAGTAACCGCCCCTCCCCGCCGCCTAATGGCTCCCGCCGCGCGCTCCGCCCCGCCCCACCCCGCTCCGCCCCGCCGCCACGCGGGGCACGCACGTGCTAGAAGGAAACACAGCCCTGCGCACGCGCGGCACCGCCACCCCGTCTCTACACCCCCAGCTGCCACTCTGGGGGACCGGGAGAAGGAAGGAGGAGCCTCTGTCTCCGGGCGCCTGATTGACTGATGTCACTACCCCAACTCCGAGCCTCGCCGTCCCATTGGTGGCTTGAGAACCGCTATCTGCATCGCTCCTTCTGATTGGTTGTTGCCGCGGCGGCTGTTGTCCTATCCTAATTCGGGCCACGAGGATTAAGCCCTTTAACCCCGCCTCCTTCCTCGTCCCTCCCTCCGCCGCGCCGCGCTCTCCAATTGGGCGGCGGCGAGCTCCCCTTGCTCCTCAGCCTTCCCGCACCGCACATGCGCCGCGCTCCCCGAGCCGGCCCCTCCCTTGAGGCGGTGAACGAAGTTGTGTCCGTCCCCTGCTGGCCCCGCCCCCCCTTTTTCCCGCCCCTCGTCCGGGAGCGGCATCCGTGAGTCCGGCCCCGCCCCGGCCAGCCCGAGCGAGGCGGCGGGTGCGGGGGGGGTGGGGGCGGCCGTTGAGGCTGCGCGCGCGCTGGCGCCGGGCTCGAGCCGGCGGCGTCTCCCTTCCCTCCCCTCAGTCCCGCGCGGCGGCCGTGGCGGCAGCAGCAAGCTCGGGAGCGGTGTCACCTCCTCCTGCTCTTCGTCCTCGCTCTCCCCTCCGGGGCACGGTGAGCACCGCCGCGAGGGGATGGACTCGCCTCCCTGAGCGCTCTCCTGCCCCGCGCTGCGGGACCCGCTGCTCTCCGCGACGCCGCTGACGGCTGCGGGAAGAGCGGCCGCCCGCTCTCCGCTCGCCCCGCTCACACGGCCGCGTTGGGACGGGCGGCGGCTGCCCCGAGCGGGGCGGGCCCGGCCCGTTGCTCCGTGTGCCCGTGGCTCTGCGCCCTTCGGCAGCTGCTCGGGGCTCCGGGAGGGTCCCCTGGAGGCGGGGGGGTGCGGCGGCGGCGGCCGGAGGGAGGGCGGCTGCGGGCTGCCCGTGCTGGGGCTCCGGGCTGCCGCCTCCTGCCCGCGTCGGACTGTCAGCCGGGAGCGGGCTGGGCTTCTCCGTGGGATTTCACGTCTGTCGTATCGCCTGGGAAACTTCCTCAGCCCGACATAACTTCGAGCGAGAAGGGAGAGGAAAAAAAAAAAAAAAAGCCATTTCCTTTAGTGTTACAGCCGCTGGAAAACACAGCCGACAAGTTCCTCTAAAGATATAATTGCAACATCACTCCTGTAGAGGAAGCGAGACCTGGAACGTAGGACCGCAGGGAAAGCACTTAATCTCTACTCCTTTTGTGCAGTGGGAGAGAAGGCAAGGCTGTTCGATTCCGTGGGACTCTCCGGTGGGAGATTTAATGCCTCTTAAAGTATTTTTAAGGCTTTTCAGAAAGATCTTAAGCGCAAATTGCTCCTGCTGTAAGGCTCTAATCCTGTGAATTGGAAATGAGGTTGGGTATTGGAGGAGACGGGTGTGCTGCTTTCTGTCATTTTCTGTAGTAAATGCAAACGCAACCATACCAATACTGGACGTGGTTTGCCAGAATTCCGGGTGTAGTCGCTGCCTGCTGGCTCTGACTCGCGGTTCTGAAAGTTGCGCGTGCTTCCTACTATCTCTGCTCTGACTGACCTTGTTCAGCTGAATCCTTTGTGTTTATTGGTGCTTCCGAATCTTGTGTAACATCTGCCACCGTTGTAGAAATACATCATGTAGATAGGCTTTTGGATGGCTATCTTGCTTCCTGCTTGGTTTTCCTCGTAGAAATCTTCTTAGAACTAAGAGACTGAGAATAATCCTTTTTTTCCCCTTCTAATTCAACAGATGCAGTTTATGTTGCTTTTTAGTCGCCAGGGGAAACTGAGACTCCAGAAGTGGTATGTCCCACTATCTGACAAAGAAAAGAAGAAAATCACAAGGGAACTTGTTCAAACAGTATTAGCCCGCAAACCGAAAATGTGCAGCTTCCTGGAATGGAGAGACCTGAAGATTGTCTACAAAAGGTTGTTCTTTCTCACTAACCTCGTAATTGACATACATCAGAAACAGTGTAATAAGTAGCAAGAAAATAATGATGGTTGATTTTTTTTTTTTCTTAATTTATCCTTTTTTTTCTTCCCTCTACTGGCTTTGGAGGAGACTGACTTCCCTTGAATCTAATTTGATAACCAAGTAGGAATCATTCATGTGTAGAAAGTCATTCATGCATTTACAAATGTGCTGAAGAGATGAGGTTTCCTTCTTCTTTCATGAGGAGTGGTGGTTTTTAGTTGTTTAGAAGACCGCAGTAAATAAGCGCATAGAAATATAAGGCATGTAAGCTTTAATGAGTATAGTAAAGAAAAACTAAATTTTATAAGCATTTACCTCAGGCAGTGACTTCATAAACTTGCAAATATAACTTGCTTTTAAAGGCTGTCACAGAAATAAGAGAAACTTTTTCTTGTTTCAGACTACGTAGAACGTTATTTTGCTATGAACGCAAAAGCATTTTTCCAGCTTAAAAAAATCACAGGCAGTGTTTTTCTTTTGGTGAAAGTACCGTATGATTCTCTTTGGCATTGTTTTTCTTTCTTAGTTGTTCGCTAACATTCTGGAGTGTGTGACAAGAGTTTTCTTAGCTTTATGCTGGTGTTTAGCATGTATGACAATGAAGAGGTGTAAAAATAATTGTCCCCACAAGTAACAGTAATTCTCACTGCGGTTTGGTAGACTGCATCTCTTCTATCTAAAGGTAGTGCTACGGAACCTAGAATTAACTCCCTTCCCTAGTTAGTTAGAAACTTCATAAGGTTTATACATTCTTATTTTCCTCGAGGTAGTAAACAATTCCAATGCTTGACAGTATTGTTACATGCTGTCTTTAGGAAAGACAGAGTTGAAACAAAGGGTTTCTAACATCTGCAATGAGCCAATTGAGTAGAATTAAAAAAAAAAAAAGTATTAGATGTACACATGAGAGCAGGACCTACAACATCTGTGTATGTAACATCATATACCTGAAGACTGCTGGTGTATCTGATGTAACTCTGGAATACTAGGAGGAGGGAAGAGGAGGACCAATGCATAAGACTGTGCTTAAGGAAGCAGACATGTTTTCTGCCTTTTAATCTCCTCACAAAACTTCTTGCGTATACGTGCAGACAAAGTTGCTGAAATGCTTTGTGCATTCCCTTCAGCTGAAAAAGCACTTGAATGCATTATCACTTGGCTTTTATGGGACTAGATCAGAAAAACTGGCAATGCATAGGCAAGGCTGTTCCCCTTCCTAGCCTTGCACAGTGGTAGCTCTTCTGGTGGTAAGTTTACTCCACAGCTGTTTTTTCTTGTTTCTTTACTACTGTTAGCAACTACTTTTCGTGGGTGCTTTTTGGTTTTTTGTTTTTTTTTTTTTCTGGCCTAGAAGGCTGATAGAAATCTGAGTATGGCTTTTTGGGTTACTGTAAGTTGTGGTGTTCGTGTATCTCGGTAATGTGCTGTGGGGTCTGTGGTCAAGGAGAATAGTGCTTGCTGCTGTGTATCTGTAGACTGCAGTCCATCTGCTAGACTGCTGGTGTGCACAGCTGACTGCAGTAGTAATTTTGCTGTCTGCAAACCAATCTGACAGAGTTAGCCTATGATATTGCTTAAGATTAGCTTGTATCAAGCTAGTTAATATCCGTTTCTGCTCTGCTTTTGCTTTATTAGCAAGTAACACAAAGCTAAAACATCACCAGAATGACTGGGTGGCAGGGGATAGTGAGTTGAAAATCCTGTGCTTGGTAACAGTAACTGCTTTCGTGTCTCTGTGGAAAGACTTTTTCCAATCATCTTACTGTAACTAAAGTTGGTGAGTGCCAACTACTGTAATCGCTTTGAGAAGACAGATCTGTTAGCTCAGAAGCAGACAGTAATACTGACAGCTACAGTAGTCAAGGTCCAGTACTTCCTGAACAGCAGTCAGCTAAAAGAGCAAGATGTGTAACAGAAACTTTGCATGGATTGTGGAATTGCACAAGGTGCATACATTTGTTTGCAGGCAAAAGATTCCTGCACATCTCTCCTAAGATCTATTCTTACCTGGTTGAGTATTGGGAAATATCTGAACCTTCCAGTGCAAATGTTTTTCAGTATAAGTTGTTCGTATTGCTGTTGTACATTATGTACGCATAGCTATTATGAGTCTGAAATTGCTGAAATTTGTGCTATGATTGCTTTTAGAGTGTATTAACTGTCAACTTTTCAGGTGTTAGAGTTGACCTAGATATTGCAACTCAAAGAATGGCTGGCGTTATTAAAAGTATACTCTAGAGTCTCATTGATGTACCTTTTTTCAAGAACAAAACCAGCTCAAATGCAAAATTGACAAGCTGGTAGCTTTTGCTGCTTTCTTATATTTAACATTTATCAGGAAGGCTGGATGATTTTGATTAGCCTCCTTAGCTCTGTTTTATTTCATCCTTATCATTCACATGGAATGATTTCTGGACGAGTTTTCAAGATGATGGAACTACAGGGGTCTTTAAAATCCATGTGAATATTTTGCTTTTATTTCTTAGTTCCATGCATGTAGCATTGATATGGTTGCAAAACTAGGTCAGTCATTGTTACCTGCATTTTTTTTCACTGGAGAAACAAGTTCTTTAGAGATCTGAAAATACGCGTGGAAGTGTGCCCTGTTTTTGACATTGCTCGTGAATTGGGTTGGATATGTTCTGCAATTGGTTTGGAAGAGAGATTTTCAGGCTGGTAGGCACTTAAAAAGAATCTGAACTTCTGATTTCAGGGGACAGATTTGAAGCAGCTTGCTGGATAGAAAATTGAAATATGGGAATCCATTAACAGTTGTGCTTTATAACAATTGAGAGGGAATTGGCTGCAGACAGCTGATTAGAAACGTAGCAAATAC